CTCTCTCTCTCTCTCTCTCTCTCTCTCTCTCTCTCTCTCTCTCTCTCTCTCTCTCTCTCTCTCTCTCTTTGGTATCCTCGAAGCGGATGCCACCGTCTGCCAACGTTTGGGGCGTTTGCAAGTCTGAGTGGAGGAAACTTCTTGGAACGTGTTCGACAACGAGGGCTCTTACTCTAGTAGTATCGTGAAATATTTTATTAACAGATGTGTGTCCTAGGCTCGAGGAAAATGACTCTCTGAGTGCGGTGTAGGTACCAAAGGAAATTTAGGATCTCAAGAAAATAGTCTGCTCGTCTCGATGCAGATTTATCTGTATGAGGAAATGTTAAAATGAGAAAGATTGAAGTAATTGTGAATTTCAATCCTTATTCAAAAAGAATTAGTAATTTTATATATTTTGAATAAGAATTAATGTAAAAAAAAAAAAAAAGAAAATTGAGTATATATATTTCTAACGAGATCATGTAATTCTGATTACAGGTGCTACTTTGCTATTCGAAGTTGAACTGATCAACATCAGTGACTCTCCACCAACCGCGAATGTATTCAAAGAAATCGACAGCGACCATGACAACCAATTGTCTCGCGAGGAGGTGAGAGCAATGGCAAGATCATTTTCATTTTTTTTTAAGGGTCGTTCGGTGAAGGATTTAATACACGTGTTTAATATAGATTATCTAACAAATTAATAACTTATTGCACGTACATATTTTCTACTAATTTTTATCTAACTTTTATTTCTCTATTTCTTTCATATCACTTTTGAATTATAATATTACAAATTTCTTTTAATACACATATTCATTTTGTTTTATCTTAATATTCTAATTCTTATCCCCTTCGTATTCTTACACGATTATTAAATACATATGGAATTAGAGAATCGAAATTCTTGTTTAATCGATAAAGAATTCATAATCTTCTTTCCTCTGTTGCTTGTTGTATCATCTCATCAAAATTGTCGTTCTCGACACTTGGGCATGGTTCCACGCAACAATTTCATTACAGATAACGGCGAAAGAGCCTGAGAGAGAAATTAAAATGAACAAAGTTTTCCACGTAATTCGTGGGAAGCTTTATTCCATTATTAATAAAACGATACGATAGGATTAACGTATCTCTTTTTTGCTGTGGCTCTTTCTCCTATTGGAAATATGCTGCTTGGTGGAAAAAAAATTGTTTTGTCGGTGAGACTCTTCTCATAAAATTTTCAAGGATCAAAGCGTGGGCCAATCAGGCTTGCTACCAGCTTTATCTCTGGCAAGTGTAAAGGATTAACATGTACACATGTGTCGAGAGAAAGGGATGTTGTAAAGCTTGTAACGTTATACGTAAATATATATATATATATACTTTTTTCGTCGACTATTTTTAACGTATATAACGAACGTGCACTAATCCTTTAGTCCCTTTTTTTTTATCCCAACGCGTATAGAGAAACGTTTTAATCATTTTAAAATATTGTGCAACTGACAATTTTTTAACTGAATATATTGCGTCGGAGTACATTTAAAAACATAGTTGCCAGTTTTATATTTTTCATCCTTTTCGGCTTATTCCAAAAGAAAAGAGCTTTAAATAAATAAAAACACTCGTTCGTGCTGAATTTATATATGCTTACCCTGTTTAAGACAGCTTGAAATGGAATGATTACAAAGCTCCGAATCGAGTTTCATTGGAAATATTGAAATTCCTATAAATCCTTTTGATGACTGACGAACGTATTTTTTTTTTTATTCCTTTGGATTACTCATTCTTTTGATATTCATTAGCGTGAATTTTCGAGTTACGTACAATGATTTATGATGTGTAAAATTATATTTAATTATTATTTAATACATTGTTTGACTTATTAATAGTTTATTTAAACATTAAAAACACAATGAAAAAGTTTTTCATCCTGAGAAGTTCTTTTCAAGTTGTATAAAAGTTGAAGAAAAATGTATTACAATTGAACAAATATAAAACTTTTTGGACAATTCAATTATATGAATTATTCTATATTTTCAGAATAATAATATCCTTAATTACAACAATATTGAGATAATAATATTTTCATTATAACAATTAGAATTTTCATAAATTTAGAGAGAGTTAAATTGTCAATTTCTTTAATAACCAAAGGAATGTGCACTTTGCGAATAATTTCTAATTTCATTATTATATTATTATTAAACAAAAACTTCAAATCTAATCTCACAAATATACAATCTTCTCTCTCTCTCTCTCTCGCTCTCTCGACAAATGTCGATAATTTCCAATAACGTTGCACGAATAAATCTCGTGCCATTCGTTTATTAAAAACAAACACCAATAAAAAAAGAAAAAGAAACGTGATCTGATTAATCTGGTGTGCGCAGGTGAGCGAGTACCTGAGGAAACAGATGATCGAGGCGGAGAAGGGGAGCGGCGGGGACAGCGAGGAGGTGAAGAAGATAATGGCCGACCACGACAAACTCGTTGAGGAGATCTTCCAGCACGAGGACAAGGACAAGAATGGCTTCATCTCCCACGACGAGTTCAGTGGGCCGAAGCACGACGAGCTCTGAAGCCTTCGTGCCGCGTCGCCGCGTCTCCGGGCACCGCGTCGCCGACGTGTCTCGCGCCACCACGTGTTCCCATCCAAGCGGAATCGCCTCTTCGATTCTCGTCCGATCCGCGAGGAACGTCACTGAGCACGGAACACCTCCATCAATCGTGTCACCTCTCGATCGATCGATCGATCGTTTTTTCCTTGTGAATTGTGTCTTCGCGAATGAATATCATCCGCGACGGATTCGTCATTATCGTCATTTTCGCCTCTCGGCGAAGAAGAACAGGATTTTTATCTTCATCTTTCGCGCGAAAGAAGGGCATTGGACCAATCGAAGAAACTCTCGTGGATAATCGTCTCTCTCTGGAAACTTGGATCTATATATAAGGAGGAATCGAGAAATCGATCGAAAGAGGGTCGAGAAGGAAGGAGGTACTACAGTTGGCTGTTGTCCAGATCGAAAGAACTTTCTTTCTATTGTGAGTTTGTGCGAGTAATTGGAAGGATTAACGGAATTAAATTTGAGTTTGATTGGGGGTGTGCCTCTTTCCATGAAGCACAAATGATGAGTAACATAAGAATGTGTTGGACGTTCATCCATCTGTATCATCCCTTCGACGAGGGATTATATTTCTCTCGAAAGGTGACGAGATATAATAATAATAATCACGCGAGGACGCAAGAAACGAAGAAAATTTTTTTCCAAAGGTGCATTCCAACAATAGATATCCGCGAATCCCAAGTCTTGAGGAGGAAGAACTCGCGAAAAGGCACGACTGGGTCGTGCGCGATCGAAAATCTGGCGCGAAGCCGAGGCTGTTCAACGTAATATAATTATACAAATATAGATAGAAAGAGAGATCGAAGAGAGAACGGGAGGGAGAGATAGAGAGACAAGGGTGATTATGTGAAAGAGACCGAGAGAAAGTGTTTTTTCTACACGATTATAGATGTTAGAGTAATTAAATTAAGCGCATCGACCTAAGAAGAATCACACGCGCGAATTCTGTCCCTCTCTCGAAAGCTTCTTCCTTTTTTTATCCGATCACCCCGCTGTATCACACGCGTTCACACACACACACACACACGTACAGATAGACAAGATAAACATGATTCGCCATCCCCTTTTTCACGAGGTATCAACAAACCCCGCCGGCATTCTCAGCCACGAATTTCACGCGAGATATATATATGTATATATATATATATGTGTGTGTATCCAGGACATGTGGTGGAGAGGAACTCGATGGAGGAAGAGACGCGAGAATGCCTCGAGGAAGATCCGTGGTGGAGATGAATGGCGGTCGCAAGAAACGCGATCTTATTCCCCCATGATCGACGCTCTATCATTAATTACACTTTTAATTGATACGTTTTTATTACTACATTATATTGTATGTTGTTAAAGTTGGACGAAGGTTATAATAATAAATCGTGTGTCTCGAGCACAGTTTGTTATATAAGTCGTTGAGCTTGTTTGATTCGCATGCTGTTTCTGGATCTTTTCCTTTCCCAAACGATTTTTTTAATTTGGAATTAAATGATATTTGCAAATTTTACAAATTTAATTCCTCCAACATCCAATCCTTTTCTTTCTGTTTCTGAGAAAGGTGGAAGGGTTTAGCTCATCGATTAAAATTATTTTCTACTCTTTTGAAACTGAAGGCAAAGGAAGAAATGAAATAAACGAATATTCGATATTTTATAGAATAAAATTTTATAACTTAAAGTTAAATCTTATATAAAAGAATTCGTATCATGTACTTAGATTCTTCTTTTTCTTCATTAATAAATAAGTTATATATTATGTATTTTTAATACTTATTTCTTATATTAATAAATTTTAATTTTAACTTTGCAAAAAAAAAAAAAGAAAAAATAATATCCATATATGAAATTTTGTTCTTTATCATTTCGATTTATTTTCCAATAAAATTATCTTCTCTGTTTTAATTTATAAATATACTTTAAATAAATGTAATTGAAAAGTGAAAAAAATAACTATTTTTTTAGCCTTAATAAATTCCATCCTCGATAAACAAATATCAGTGCGAGAGATGACTAATTTAAGTTATATTCCATTTGGATTACTAAAATGTAAATTTGTACCCTATATTTTTTATGCGATAAATTTCATTGACGGCCATGTAAAATAAATTTCAATGAATTTATCAACGATCCAATATCAATACCAAATCCCCATTTGGAATTAAATCGCGCGGATGAAAGAGGACAACAGGAGGAAAAATAGGTAAAAATGAATTAAACGAAACGAAACGGCCCATTATTGCTGCTCTCAATTTTATTTCAAGAATTCATTTCCGCAGAAAATTACAATAATTGCGCACGCGCGACGCCACGTGGCACGATAATAAGATGATAATTAAATTAATTAAGTTTCTCTTCTCGCCGAATAAATCACACCGTTTACAAATATTCTCCTCTCCTAGGTATTCGAAATTCACTACCTACGATATCCGCAGAAATAAAATCGTTGTCGCGTAAACATTTTCCATTTTATTTCCTTCGTCGAAAAAGAATAAACGAAAAGAAAAAAAAAAAAAGAAAGAAAGAAGAAAAAATGAAAAATACGTACGAAAGACATCATTTCGTACCATCGAATGGTTTCATTCAATTTCGTTCGAAACTTTCTTAAACCTTAAGAAAGAACTAAAAGTTTTTCATCGACGGATCAAAAATCGTTTGAGGCACGTTTCAATAAGATTGTCCGATTTTTCATCCCTGTCGTTCGAACTTTCAAACGGAGAAGCTTTTCAACGGGTATTTTCAATAATCCTCTCGCCATGCATGTTGCAAAAGCGAATTGCTTCAAGAAATATTCTTCCTTCTTTGCATACGAGCATTTATTCCTGAGAAACTGTCACTGCGCAAGATGCATCTCGAAAGTTTCTCTTTCCTTTTTTTTCTCCTCCTCTTCTTTTCGTGTTATTTTTTCTTTTTTCCTTTCATTCTCTCTTTGAAGATGGAGAAAAGTTTCAGAAGTTGTTGCATTCACGAAATGCTGACCAAGTATATATGGGTCGCTTACAAACAGTCGTGCAATCGTACTCGAAATATTTAAATAGTTAAATAGTTTAAAAAGTATATATTTTTCATTTATCAAGTATGATAAACATAATATTTTTTATTTATCATATTATGTGAATCAATTTTATTATAATCCCCAATTAAATTAAAATTGAAGGAATTTTATGTTTAAACATTTTATTATACGTAGTACGTAAAATAAGATAATAAACTTTGCTATTTATTTTCTCAATCCGTCTTCCAATTTTATTAAATTTTAAGATTAGTAAAGATTATTTTTATAAGCTCAAATTTTATAATTATGAAATTGTATGAGCAAAATATTTCGAATATTTATTTATATATATTAAACCTTGCCTTATTATATCACATTAAATTCAAATCAAACGTGAATGATATGAGCCATTTCTCGTTATATATCATCACATCATAATACAGTTTATTACATATATATTATTAGATCAAAGTTAAATTCAATTCGTGATTCCATACATGAGTTTGAAATACTCATTATCCAATGATCGTTTGTAATAAAAGACTTTGTTTCTCATTATATCACAATAATTATAATTAAAAATTAAATCGAAAGGTAAGAGGTCAATCTCGATTTAGATAGAATCGATAAAATCGATAAGAAAATTATTTAATCCTTTATGAAGAAGAACTCGTTGAAAAGATTCTCTCAACTTTATTTTCAGATATTAAAAATATATTTACGAACTTTCCACAAGATCTATGCATTAGATATATTCATTTAATTTATATAATATATATTCTATAATAATTCTAACTTGTTAGCAGACAGTAAACTTTCTCATCTTATTTGCTATATTTGATGTTTGATCAAATATCCATAAAATCGTCTAAAATCAAATTAATTAGTTAGAAAATAATTTATAATATAAAAGTATCTGGATCTATTCTATGTATATTCTCAAAAACTATTTTAGGCCATCGTTTATATTAATATATTCATATATTCATTTATATATTCATATATTCATTTGCATTTCGAAATTCTTTACTATTTTTATTTTATCGAATATAATTTAATTTTAAATATACTTATTATTTCTCATTATTTACGTTATTTATATTTTTGAACAATTTTTAAAGATGAAAATATCGTTTCATATGAATAGAGAAACAATATAAAAGTAACTAAATATACATTGATATATACTTGTTTTAATCTTCCACAGAATAATCGTTTATAATTATCAATACATCTGAAATCAAATTTAGATTTGCAGTAATCATCTAATCGAAATATTAAGGCATATATTATGTTAGACTTTTTCCACGAAGTTAGAAAAATACGAACGATAGGGATATCGATATGATAACGTCGAAAAACAGAAGGCCTCCAAGTTTCGATAGAAACATCTGCTTTCTGCCAGCATACAGAAAGTTCGATCGAAATATATGTATATGCGTGTATGATATATATATCTATATATATATATCTATATATGTATCTAATTCTTTAAACGTATAACCTTGGTGTACGCGATTCACTCCCTGGAGGGTGTGCTTCCTCTCTGAATTGGTCGTCGTATTCGTTTGGCCTCCATAAAATCGCGATGCCCTGGCCGTGTGATCAACATCCGATCGATGATTCGATGATTCGTGCTTATTACCCCTCCTCCCTTCTTGTGGACGAGCTACAGGATTCGAGTTTTATCACAGTCAGTAGCCCTTGATGTAGGTGGCGATGTGCTTCTTCTCCTCTTCCGAGAGGCCGTTCTTCAGCGTTCTACGCACTATAAATCACATGGAATTTTTATTTGGATTAAATGGAAATGATGTTGTCCATGCAGGCAAAGGTGCAGGCAGTTTTTTTTTAAGTTTCGAACATTTCGTGTAAAATGGTAAGTTAGAAAAATGATTTATCTGTGTTATTGTAATTTGATACAAAATTTTGATATAACAATAATTAAAGATTGTTGTATATTAATATCTCGTTAACCAGATATTGAAATATTTTTAAAATTAATATTTCTTAATATTACAATTCGAATATTATGATATGAAAATATATGTATGGATATTATAAAATTATATTCCAGAATGTATTCTATTCTATTGTTCAAAAACATCTTTACATGAAATGTTCGTTCAATCAATACATTGAATGTAATGCTATAGAAATCAAAAAAATATGATCATTCCAAAGTAGGATTGCATGCAGTCAAATCGTAGGAATAAGTTATAATTAACTATCTTTTCCATTATTTACATTGTTGATGAAAAACATTCTAGTTTATCTATCTTAAATGTTTTTATTCTAATTAATATCTTACGTGACTGATAAATAATAATACTTATTATGTGCCTCTTATAAATTAAAATTTTCATCACTGCAAAATATTATTATTTTTCACTATGAGACTTTCATTAGAGCGATTTTTTACTTTTGTTATAATTATAGATTTAATTATAAATAAAAAACTTAACTTTTTAGTTCTAACAATTAATAAATATCAAAAATATCGAATGTTTTAATATTATAGAAGTATTAGCACTATTTCAATATTTCAGACAATGATTGATCAAGCGAGAAAATTAGTTTCCACGTTAGTATGATTGGCATTTGTTATTAACAGGATGTGAACTCGTGGCTAGCAGAATAAATCAATGTTTCGCACTTGCATACATAATTATGAATAGTGGTTAATAGATTTCGAAAATTATTAAGCGCGTTCATCGCCTGTAAATCCAATAATTTTCAAACTTAAAGTTGTTACTACCAAAATTACTTGAGATATTTTACCCTTTATCGAATATGTATACCATCTGAAATCTTTGCAAGATTTATTTTATAATCAATACAATAAATTTGATATTCGTTTAAAAGTAATTAATGATTGATCGAATCAATTATATTGATTGACAGATATAAAGTGAAATATACATTTTTATATACAAATTCGACAAAAAATTTTAAACAAAAAATGCGTTTAAAAGATAACGATTTCCTCCTGTATCCAATTCGATTGATCAATAGTGGTTGCTTTCACTTCTTCGATTCCCGATGTGTATTCCAAACACGAAATCGGAAATTCGTTTGCAGAAGTCGATCAATTCTATCCACGACACAGTGAAATAACATAGAAACTAATCGAATAAAGGAACAAAAGATCGCGAAACAACAATCACTAGAAATCTAGGAAAATAAAATGCATATCATGTATATTTCTTACAAGTTAAAAGCTAATTATATCACAACATAATAACTATAAATATTTGTTCTATTTTCCATCGTATTTTACTTATACAGATCTTATTTTTGACAGATTTAATGATTTTCTTGCCTTTCGAGGAAACTTTATTTTAGTTTTTATTATTTTAATTATAAAACAACGACTAATCAAGAAATGTATATGAACAAAGTATTTTATATGCATAGCAGAAATAAGAAAAAATTAGAACAAGTAAGTATTGAAATAATATTATTTAAACTGTATATTTATCTAAATTGTTCACTCAAATTATAATAACTAAACTAATAAATAATTAAACTTACACTAATAATTTAATCATCCACTATATCATGCATTATCACATCTACATCTATATTTACATGAACGTAAGATACCAGTTGTATTTATATACAAGTGAATTAATATACAAAAATATTAATTGAGACAACATATTTATCAAGCTATTAGCAATTTAAATAAATCTAAAGTGTACCCTTGCACAAAAAACATAATATGAACTTAATATATATATTATATTCTGTTTCTAATTTCATTTTCATTTGAATTAACAATACCAAAGCCAATGTAACTTATGCATTGCTATGTTTCAATCGATTCGAAATATTCAAAATAGAGAATACTAGTAAGTATATCATAATACGAAATATATCATAAATATATCATAAATATCAAAAAAAATTTTAAATTACATTCTTCAGATGTATACAAAGAAATACAATGGTATTTAAAAAACAATATTCATTTTTATAAATCCTTTACGCTTCTTTATATAAAAAAATAAATAACAAAAGAATATGTCTCCCACGAAACCATTCAACTTTTATTTGAAACATTTTTTAATATTTCCATAAACAAGGGTGATATATCAGATATGCATAATATTAATCGGACATCCTATTATGCAATCGGTTATTAAAAACAATGGAGATATTCCAAGTAATAAAAATATAGTGCTTGATTTCTTAAAAAAATTATAAAAATGATAAAAAATGCACTGAAAATGACAGAGGGTAAGTATGCAACAAGTAAGGTAACTAAATTTATATGAATTTTGTAAAAAAAAAAGTTTCATAGTTCTAAAAAAATAGCGACGCTTTTTAAGAAAAATGGAAAAAAAATAAATAGAAGAATGGTAGATAAATGGTAAATGTAGAAAAAAAAACTCCTTTCAGGATATTCATCTGATACAAAGAAATATCAAAGCAAAAATTTCGTTTATTCGATCGATAATTCCGAGAATTTGACGTCATTTCCAAGAATTTTAGAGATACACAGAACCTGGCCCCAGTTCCAAGAATTGTAGAGATTCCGAGAAT